CTATACAGTTCTTCTTTTGAATCTCCAACCCCTAGCATAGTGCTGAGCATTGGGCACACAGTAAGGACCATGAAGATATTGACAGATTAATCTAATAATCTATGAACATTTATGGGTTTCTTAGTTTTTACAAGTGAAGGAAAGAAGCTAGTATTTGTTGGCCACTGACTACATATCAGGCTCTACGTTAAAGCTTTACATGTATTTCTTCATTCAGAGAAATTTATCAGACAGTGGGATGTTTTTGGAAGATGAAGATATTAGGAAAAGGAGATTAACATAGACTTCAATATAATGAATCAGGAAAGATTGAAGAGGATGCCTCAGATGGAATCTGATCACTCACTAGGTTGTGAGGGGGAAGGAGAGAGAAGACATTTTACTCTTGAAACCTCTCTTTTTATGAGTACCTAGTGGGTATATCATGTCACTGGCTAGTAATAATATCCATGCTTTATTGATTGCATTGTGCTGGCATTTATTAGGAAACTCTTCTTTAAAGAGGCAGTATGTGACAGTGGAGACAGCAGGATCTTTTGAGTCCAGCGAAACTTCTCCACCCTGATTCTGCATGTTACTAAGCATCTGATATTTGGCAAGTTTCTTTTTCCTTTATTTTGAGACGGAGTCTCACTCTGCTGCCAGGCTGGAGTGTAGTGGTATGATCTTGGCTCACCGCAACCTCGGACTCCCTGATTTAAGCTATTCTCCTGACTCAGCCTCCCAAGTAGCTAGGATTACAGGCACCTGCCACTGTGCCCAACTAACTTTTGTATTTTTAGTAGAGACGGGGTTTCGCCATGTTGGCCAGGATCTCCTGACCTTGTGATCCACCTGCCTTGGCCTCCCAAGGTGCTGGGATTATAGGCGTGAGCCACTGCGCCCGGCCTAGGCAAGTTTCTCAAGCTCTTGAAGTTTTAAATTTCCTTAGCTATAAAATGGATACAATACTAGCTACCTCATAAGATATTAGATATAAATTGCCTAGCATACAAAAATGCTCAATAAGCCTCCCTTCCTTATTCTGCTTTCTCCCTATGTATAACCTATTAGACCTGAAAAATTTGGAAGTACTAACTAAACATGACCAATAAATAAGAAGTGCTCTTCTTTGGCAATATCCTATATTGCAAAAATTTTGTTTTCTCAAATGTCAAGTTCTGTTGATATTGTAGTGTCAGTTATTCGACACATTCTTGGAATATGAACATTGTTTATAGATGCTTCAGTTTGCATACCTAAAAAAAAATCCAGATAGAGAAATTGTCATTCCTTAATCATGAAGAACATCAACACAAGTCCTGAAATTCAGAGCTCCCTGGTTTCAATTCTTTTGCTTATGTCTCTAAATCACCTTTCTTCCCTCAATGCCAAAAAAGAAGTGTTTGTATAGAAAATTAATATTCTCTTTCTCAGTTTCACCAAGAAGTACATTTATTATATGTTCAACAAAGTTGTATTCACTTTTCCAACTGAGAAACATTTAAGGGATTTCATTATATTTTGAGAAATTATTCATCAATCAGAGATTTAACAGCCACCAAAAAGAACTCCACAATTAATCTTTTATAACATGGGTGTGACTTATAATCTCTACACTAAAAAATTATTAAATGTAAGGGAAAACTGTTCATAGACCATAATATTTCTTGGCAAAGAAAAACTGCTTTGTGTTTTTAAAGATATGGTTGAGAATTTAAATGAAAGCTACATGCTTGAAATTAGTGCCAGATGCAACACAATTCAAGCACAATTCGCTAGCTGCATCAGATATTTCACTATGATTTAGTAAAAGGTATCCAACAATTCTACGTTTCATAGAAATCTCACAAATACAAGTATTTCATTCACAAAATGCATGGCTTGGCAGGCTTCCAGGGCAGGAATGCGCTGGAAGGAAGGTAAATTTATTGGTTAACATAAATCAAAGGACTGACATTTTCCCTAGAAAACTGGCAAAACAATAATCAGAAACTGAAGGTCTTACAACCAGAGAAGAAAAGTCTGAGCTATTATTTACATTTATTACAGGCACCCAGCAACGTGATAAACAATTAGGTAGTTAAGAATTCTCAAATCGCCGGGCGTGGTGGCTCAAGCCTGTAATCCCAGCACTTTGGGAGGCCGAGGCGGGTGGATCACGAGGTCAAGAGATCAAGACCATCCTGGTCAACATGGTGAAACCCCATCTCTACTAAAAATACAAAAAAATTAGCTGGGCATGGTGGCACGTGCCTGTAATCCCAGCTACGCAGGAGGCTGAGGCAGGAGAACTGCCTGAACCCAGCAGGCAGAGGTTGCAGTGAGCTGAGATCGCGCCATTGCACTCCAGCCTGGGTAACAAGAGTGAAACTCCGACTCAAAAAAAAAAAAAGAAAAAAAAAAAAGAAGTCTCAAATCAGCATTGAGAAACTTAATTTTAAATGTTAGATATTTTTGAAGTAAGAGTTTCCAAAAGCCTTTGCTATGAAATCTGGTGTTTGTAAATCTTTGTAGTAGTTATAATTATATGCCACCTCTATACTTTACATTTATTAATGTATGCACTAAATAGTGAGCATCCTTTAATGGGCTATATATAGAAACAATCCAGGTCTTTTTTATTTTTTGAGATGGAGTTTTTCTCCTGTCGTCTAGGTTAGAATGCAGTGGCACAATCTCAGCTCACTGCAACCTCTGCCTCCCAGGTTCAAGCTTTCTCATGCCTCAGTCAACCGTGTAGCTGGGATTACAGACGTGTGCCACCACGCCCCAAAACTTATATTTATACAAAATGTAAGTTTTGTATTTTTACTAGAGTTGGTGTTTCACCATGTTGGCCAGGCTGGTCTTGAACTCTTGACCTTAAGTGATCTGCCCACCTCAGCCTCCCAAACTGCTGGGATTACATGTGTGAGCCACTGTGCCTGGCTCCAGATCATCTTAAATATGCAAAAGTTAATTCCTTCCTACCCCATGCCTCAGTTCTTCCCCCTCTACTATCTCTTTACCCATTCTGGTCACATTTCCATCATCAGCAATTGTTATGAACTGAATGTTTGTGCACCCCTAAAATTCCTGTCTTGACGCCATAACCCACAGTGTGGCTGTATTTGGAGATGTGGCCTCTAAGGCAGTAATTAAGGTTAAATAAGGTCAGAATGGCAGAACCCTGATCCAACAGGATTAGTGTTCTTTTAAATACAGAGAAGAGACAAGGGAGAGCTCCCCCAACTGTGCACACAAAGAAGAGGTGATGGGAGCACAATAAGGCGAGGGTGGGTGCCTACCAGGCAAGAGAAGAGGCCTCAAAATGAAACCGACTTTGCTGGCATCTTGATCTTAGACTTTCCAGCATCTAGAACTGTGAGAAATAAACTCCTGTTGCCTAAGCTACCCTGTCTGCAGTATTTTGCTGTAACAGCCTGAGTAGATGAAGAACAATTAAGAAGCCTAATGCAGTTACAACAGCACTCCCAGGCACACCTTTCTGTTAACGTTTAACTTTTTAAAGATTTGGATTCAAGGAAAATCCTATTGAGAAACTGAACAGATCTGGCCGAAAGAGTTTTATACAGATCCTTAACTCATTCAGCCTTGCTTCTACTTTAGACTCACAGACTGAACAGGAAAAGGGAACTCATCGATCCAAACTTGCTGATTCAGGTTTTACTATGATTCTGGGGTTATAGAAAACTGCTCTCTAAACTTGATGCATCTTCTGGAAGATAATGGAGGTGAGATGGTGCAGTGGATAGTTAAGTAATAGGATTAGCCATCTGTTGATGCAAAACTGAGATATAATACCGAGTGCAATGCAAAATTTTGTACATGTTTAGCTTGCTTTGAAGAAGACATTATTGGTAATGTTAACAGCAAAAAACAGCTAAGATTGAAAATTAGTGTGGGCCAGGTAACATGCAAAAGGCTTTATGTGTATGGTAGCCTTCCTTATCCACAGGAAATACCTTCCAATAGCTGCCTGAATCCTGGAATAATGGTGAACCCCATATATAACTTTTCAATCTGATAACCAAGTTGGCTACTAAATGACTAAGAACCTGGTAGCATAACAACATACATATGTGGGACAAAGCAATGATTCACACTGCAGGAGGTTTCATCAGGACACCCAGAATGGGCTTGCAATTAAACATTTGAATTGTTCATTTCTGGAATTTTCCACTGAATGTGTTTGGACCTGGGTTGACCCCAGGTAATTGAAATTATGCTAAGAGAAGCCACAGATGAGGGAAACCTACTGTATTTTCTTTTCTTTTTCTTTTCTTTTCTTTCTTTTTTTTTTTTTTTTTGCTTTTGAAACAGGGCCTGGCTCTGTTGCCGAGGCTTTTATTATATAATCATCACAAAATTAACAAATAGGCACACTTAATCTTACTCTTATTATAAAACACTATTTCGGAAAATGAAAATATTTCTAAAATAGCCCTATCCCATCCCTATCACACAGGATATTTTATTTTCTTCACAGTACTTTTCTCGTTTATTTTTTTTCTTCCTTATTTTCTATGCTCCCCAAGCACCCACTTCAGGGCATAACACAGTGTCTGCCACAAAAAAGAAGAACGTTCGGTCAAGCACCCTGGACTCTGTCACCAGACGGTAAGCGTCACGAGAGCAGGAGTCTGCCCGTTCTCTGCTAACCAGGGATTGGCACGATGCCTGGCACAAAGTGGGCGCCCAATAAGGAGGCGAAGAAAGAAATATATACATATACATATATATATATATATATATGTATATATATATATATATATATAAAACGGAAGAGAGGGAGGGGAAAGAATGAATGAATGAAAACGTTTACAGAAGGGCCTAGAAAGAAAGCACTCTCCAAGAGTCTCCCTCCTGGTGGCATCAACTCTCAGTTCAATGTCTGTGTCAGCCCTTTCCTCGCCCAGACGCAGTGGCCTACAGCAGGGAATGGAGAAGGAACAAAGTCTTTAAAATAACGTTTGGAAGAAAGAGAAAAGAGAAAAAAGAATAAAGAAAGGAATTACCTCCTTCGAGCGTACTAAAAAGGGAAACCCCGCGAGGTCGGTTGCCCTGGCGACCTTAGGGCCAGAACGGCCCCAGCCCATTGGCTGAGACACAGGAGCCAATGAGAAGGCGCGATGTTGACAGGGGTCTTAAGATGGCTGCTGGGTTGCCGCTTCCTGACAGGTGAGTACGGCTTATGGAGGGCGGGTTACCGCCGGCTCGGGCTCGGGCGTGATGAGTTCGGGAGGGCCTCTTGCGGGAAGCCGACGGAGCAGACATGGGCGGCCTCATGGTTCCTTGGCCAAGCCTCCTGGAGCCGGCTAGAAAAGCCCCCGGTCCGGGCCTGCGGAAGCGACGGCGGGGCCGCCCTCCGCTTTCCTCGGAAGGGGAGTCGCGGCGTCCTCCCCAGCCTGTTAGGGGGAGGGAGTTTCTCAATCCCACCCCGGTCAAAGTGAGAGGCTTTCGATTGGGGAAACAGGCTCGTGTTTACAGTTGCTGTGTCCCGGTAAACAGCTCGAGTTAATGAGAATGCCAGCAGGCTAGACATCCTTCGGAATCTGCAGCGCTTAGTTCTGTGCCCGGGAGGGGATTCTGCCTGTTTTGGGATTGGAGTGTGGCATTGCCACCAGAAAGCCCGCAGAGTTCCGGGTTGTGCAGCCCAGCAGGAACAGCTGTACCTTCTAGACCCATCCTCTTGCAATCTTGGACCTTGTAAGTATTTTAACGGTGGAATCGACTTAAAATGAGCCTTGACCTGTTAACTTGGTTTATTGTTTTTCCGTGCAGGATCTTGGGTCTGGGGAAATGTTCTCCAGGCCTCAAGTAAACGACCACTCTCTTTAATTAAAACAGTTGCATACATGCAGAATCTTGCTAAATAAGTAGTTTTTCTGGATAGCCCGACTGTCAACTTAAATTCGCTTTCAGGCCTGTGATTCAGTTGTCCTTTCTGTACCCTTTTTGAGAAAAGGAGAACATTCATTTGATAAAAGTAAATAGGATATTTACATTAATGTTGATGTTAGCATGCTTGAAAATAGTAACTATTTTTAAGTCACAGAAACTTGATTATGATGTAAATTATTTAACAATCTAAATAATTGTGATGGCTTATGATTAGTATACAAGTGAAATTAATTTTAGATCAGACCAAGTTCAGGTTTCTGGGATTATTTCTAATCAAATACAAAATATGGTAAATAAGACAGCCTTATATGATGAAAATGGAATTTAAATTCTGGAAAGGAGCCGGAAAACATTTACTCATTGAGCTGCTCAAATGTATCTTGTGGGTTTTGGTTAAAAGCAACTGCCTGGTTGTCCAGAAAATATGACATTGTTACTCAAACCTCTGACTGTGACTTTGATGTATGCAATTTAGTTTAGCATCTTACATAGCTTTCTGTACTCAAAAAGTACAGAAAAAAATTCTTCTTAACCAAATTTAACAAGTCTTTAAATGTAGGCTAAAATCATTCACAGACCCAGTCTCAAATTCTTGCCCCCACTTACAACTCTGCCCTGTAGAAGTTCATAATCTAAAGCCTTGGGGCTCTATTTTTGTAAAACAAGTGGATCAGAATGTATTAGGTGAATTATTCCATCTGTAAGTTGGGGTCGGGGTGCGTAGGGGAGGGGTGGATATAGACAGGAATTCCCAGTGGAAGCGTTGTTGTAAAGACTAATGGTAAACCAAGGCCTGCCACAGTGTAACAGTGACCTGCTTTGTATGCCATGTGTAACAGTGACCTGCTTTGTTTCCCCTTTCTGGTTATTCTGTTTCCATTTGTAACTAGGGTTTCTTCCCCTTCTCAGTGTCCTCAAGTGTAGCCTCTCTCTGAAAACATCCTCTTGCCTGAGTTGCTAGGTAAAGGAGAGAAACCTTACCTACTGGAATACTGGGCTCTAATCAGGATTGCAGTCCTGGAGAGAATGGAATGTGACATCCAGGAATGAGGTGACTCTGGGCATTTAGGGCACTTATAACATCAAAATCATAAAGAGACATTTTTACAGTTCCAAGACATCTCAGAGATCATTTGAGCAAACCTTCATTTTATAGCTTAAGAATGGAGGCCCAGACAAATGCAGTGGCTTTCTCCTAATTATGTTGCTCAGGACTAGAAACCATCTGCCGACATTGAAGACTGTTTTACCCTATAACCAGTGCACAATCTGGAACAGTTTTTATTATAATTTGATTTCTCCCTGGCTGCTATATTTTGAAAGATTGTGTCTACTAAACCATATTTATGAATGGTTTTTCTGATAAAAAATAGGCCTATAACTACCAGTGAACCTCTGATTAACATGTGGTAAAGAATAATGCTTCACTGAATTTGTCTTTTCCCATAAAGGCAAATGGTACTGTCTCACTGAGGGAAAAAATAAAATAGTTTGAGTTTTTTGAAATTAGCTTAGAGACCCCTGTTACTGTATTCTTACTTAGATTAGGACCTACTGAACTGTACCCTGTTTTTGATTCACTGTTACCTGACCAACTATGCTAAATAATGATGATGGGTGATTTTCAAGGACAACAAAACAAAACAAAACAAAACCCTAGTTATTCAAACTAGGACAGTATATAAGTATTTTCAGTTCATGTCAAATTGTATCAGCCCAAGACTAAAGATATGTTCTGCATGGTACACATAGAATGTCTTTGAGAATAATTGTGGGATGGAATAAATCTTAACTCTAGAGGTGGAGGGTGTATAAAATGAAGAAGGTGATATACAAAATCATAGAAAGACAAAGGATCCTGAGTCATTTACATTTTCCTTAGGGCTAAAATAATTATATTGAAAATTATTTGGTTGCAGGGTAAAAAAAAAAAAAAAGAAAGCTTATGAATTAATACATTGACTGTTATATGGACTTGGCTATAATCTATACTAAAAAAATTAAGTTTCTGTTTCTCTGATATTCCACGTTTCCTGAGACTGGCTGAGTGAATTTTCACAGTTAAAGGGTAATTTGGGATTATCTACCTTAAAATAAAGAACTGTAATCTGAAAGGCATGAGTAAGAGACACTTTAAAGAAATAGAGAATCATCTTCCACAGCAGCCAAAACAGGAATAACAGGACGCCTAACATGGTGCCAGTTGGAAACTTTGTGAGTGACAAGTATATGCTATGAATAGAAAGACTGTTTTCAAACATGAGTCCAAAGCAAAAGTCACTAAGGAGTCACTCCATATTGGCTGATCTATAATTGGGCTGCTGCTTCCACAGGCAACTCCGTTTTGCAGGCTCCGCAGTGAGTGGCAGCAGTTACCCGTGTTTATCAGTGACTGCTGAATCTCCCTTGTATTTGTTTTTTTGTTTTTGTTTTTGTTTTTGTTTTTTTGAGAGTTGTGGGAAAATGGCACATGACTTTAAAGATTTTCAAGAGTGGAGTTGAGAAACATACCTGATTTGAATTTTGCCTGGATTTAGTGGTGGATTTCTTTTTTTTTTTTAAGTTATTTTAATCTTTTTCCTTTGGATATACTCAAGAAATTATCATACCAGGCAGATGCCATGTTGAGGACAGATTTTAATGCCACATCAGCAGGAGCTAAAAATATATAATTTTGAGAAAATTTTAAAAGCTATAAAAATGCATAACTACTTGAAGGCCGATGAGCAACAACAACAGCAAAAAGCATGCCTTCTTCAGGGCAGCTGAGACTGCTCCCCAGAGGGAAGCATGTTTGGGTGTCCAGAGCATGGACTGTCACCCCGCAGAGATGCTAAAACAGTGGTTTAGTGGGAGACCTGTACACTGCCCATTGGAGAGGCATATGCTTTTCATGAGCAGTCACATGTGAAGTCCAGGTCAAGGAATACTTGACTCAAAAATTCAACAGAATCTTGCCATGTGTGCAGATGTCATTTCATGAGGCTAGAGATTTTTGCCTGTTTTATATAATTCTTTCCCAATAGTCTGTAAGAGTGTCTGGCACACAGGTGGGCATGTAAAAGATTTTATGGACAGGAAGAGAAACAGTTATTTCTAATATAGACCCCAGTGATGCTAAGAAATCCAAACCTGAAATTTCTTACTAAGTCCTTAAATGATAATGAGCCTAAAGGTGTATTATATGCCCATGACCAAGTTATACTGGAACTTATTACTGCTTTCTTTCCTTTGCTCTCAGAACAGGAGAAATCTTTTTTTATTAATAGCATGACATCTGTTTTTAAATATTGGCATATTTTACATGATGTCTTTTGTGGTATCAGAATATCTCAAGAGTACTTCTGCCCCAACTTTAAAAATCCACAGACAAGTTTAGGGCTAGATCTGGGTTTTATGGGGCCTGGAGCTTATGTAACTTCGGGTCTCTTCTTTTAAAAAAGAAATGCAATTTCTGAATAGAAAACTGGGTACAGTGCTTTGGAAGGACCTGTGCAAATGAAGAACCTTGGAACTTAAGGTTACCATTATCTTCTTGGTAATCTGCCTCTCATTTTATTGCTCCATTCAGGAAATGAAACACTAACATTTGTTATAGATACTTTACATCAGACTGTGAATATCAAGGAAGCAAATGATTGCATCACTTGCTAAGTGAGTGCACCACAAGTTTTAGAAACTTCAAAACTATCTTATGAACCCTGTCACCCATAATAGAAATGATAAAAATGTAATACATGGGCACAGAAATAATAATAGCAAAGAGAACTTAACATTTATTGAGCCCCTAAGACCTCTTAAACACTGCGTTGAGGGGCTTATCTCATTTAATCCTCAGAATAACCCTATAAGCAGTATAATTATCCTTGTGTTACAGATAAAGAAATTGAGGTTCAGAGATGTTAAATGATTTCCTCATACCACTAGTAGTGGCAGAGTCAAGATTCTAGTTGGAGCAGTTAGATGCCAGAGTCCTTCCTCATAAAAAGCCAACAGAATATTTGGTGAGGATATTTCAGAGAGCCCCCAACTGATGAGCTGGACCAAACCCACAAAAAGTAAGATCTGATTCTTTGGACCTGGGAGGAGGTCTCTAAAAGATAACAGAAATCTGTTGTTGCAAAATCCCCAGTGTGTTTGTTTCAGAGAGAATGGTAATTT